ATGTCCTGTGCAGGGGGGAGGGGGGGGGAGGGGGGGGGGGGGATTGTTTGCAAGACATGCTGTCAGGGCCAGAGAAGGCTACCCTTGGGGACACATACCTGTACCTCTGACTCGTAAAAAAGGACACAGAAGGGGCACTGCCCTCACCCCCATCCCTCGCCCTACCAAACACCCCTGCCTTCCACACATACCTTCCTCTCAACAGCCCCCTCCCCTGACACACATTGGAAATAAACAACTAAACCAAGAAAGCAGGGCTCACCAGTGCATCCTGTGTGTTCCAGGCCATGACGTCGATGTGCGCCCCCAGCTGGCCTTGCAGGCCCTCAGCCACAGAGCTGGCCTGCGCGGCGGTGAGGTTGCTGCCGTCCAGGGTGGAGACCGCGACCATGACCTCCACTGGGACGACGGGGACAAGGTCCACGCTGTGCGTCATCACCATCTCGTTGATGTTCACGCTCATCAGGCGGATGCTGGCGTTCAGGCCCATGGTCTGGGCCTTGGCGCCCCACATGAGGAAGTTGGTGAACTCGTCGGTCCAAGCCTGGGTCCAGGTGTCGCTGATGTTCAGGTTGGGCATGGACAGGTTGAACAGGTGGTACAGGTTACCCGCAAAGTCGACGTAGGGTTCTGTAGACCCCACTTTATCCGAGTAGCCGGGCTTGGGGTAGTTCTCCCTGGCGCGATTGGGAGGAACAGGGGAGTGAGAGGGGGTTGGCTGCATGAGATGCGTGCCATCACACTTGAGGCAGCATCTCGAGGCCACGGGCAATAGCCACTGTTGTGACCAGATACACCAGCGCAAGGGAAGCTGTCTGACAGACAGGGGCCAGCTTGGGTCATGAGCTCCTCCCTTGTTCCTGGCAGGCATGCTGCTCCCGCTCCCGCTCCCGCTCCCGCTCCCTCCCCCTCCCCCCCACCCCCCCACACCCCCTTCTCCCAATCCTGCACATACCTGTAGCTGACAATCTCCACGGGACCTGGGGCAAGGGGGGCGAGAGTCGAAAAGCGTCAATTGCTGGCGGTGACTCAGTCTGTGAACATTATGCCCCCGAAATGGGCTGCCCAGAACGTGCACCGCGCCTACCCAGACCAACCCGTCCGGCAGTAACCTCCACCGCGACGCCGTCATGCGTGGGCGCGCCTCGGCAACGGAAACCGAGTAATGCCACTTACCCAGGTTGGGAATGACGACCTGCTGGAAGGCCTTGGCCAGGATGGCTTGGGTGTCCAGCGTGAAGGGCACCACTCCCGGGCCCGAGAGCCGGACGATGAGAGCCTCATGCAGGGCCAGTACCCCCCCCGTCTCACTGCACAAGCGGATTCAGGACGGAGGCTGTCAGCATACATAATGATCCATGCATTCGAGGCCCATTTATCCACTGCGAGAGGCAAGGCTCACTTGATAATGGCTTCCCACCGCTGTTGCGCGGCAACAGGCTCGGAGCTCCATGTCGTCTCTGAGGGGTTGTTCCGAAATCCGTTGGCACCCGTCTGAGCCTCAGAGAGGATTGAGAGCCCAAGAAAGCAGACCACGAGGAGCCAGACCCCCGCCCGCATGAGGGCAGTGTTTTGGGCGACCTCCAGCCACTGGCTCCTGCCTGCTCGGTAACTTTCGCCTCACCGTACTCTCGAGAGCGAGAATTAGGAAGGTGAAACCATTACATCGATTATGCACCAGGATTCGCGGGCCGCGCCTTGACCGGTGCCTGCCAAGCTGCCTCCATCGCTACCTTCCTCTCGAGGAACAAGGTTGCCCCCTCGCCCTCTAGGTGCCACGTGTGTCTAGAATCTACCAGCGCTTCGACAGAACAAGTATGACCGGAGTCCCTGTGATATCTAATGCTTGGTGTGAACCGTTTCCTCTTTCAACATCTTAGCTCTCAGCAATTGGTCCAGGTTTATGTGTGAGAGCCAGGAGGTGGCTGCTGAGGGGTCCCCCCCCGACTGACTGTACGATGTTCGTTCTTTCCTACTGGGCCATGCACCGAGAATGTCTTGCCTGCGCACCCTCCCTTTTCACAGGAATGAGAAGGGAGGTGCTGCGACTCGTATGGTGTACATAGCGCCGCTATACGCGTGTGCTTCAGTGGGAGCGCAGCTGCTGCGCGGAGCATCGGCGAGCGCGGAACGCGAGGCGGCACATGAATGAAACCACAGCAAACAAGCTGACTGAACCGCGCAGAAATAATGGTGGTTCCAGTTGACCACTCTTATAGGAACCATAGCGAGTGCTTTGCACCGCCGATCACACCAGGGGGTCCCGGCGTTAGAAAGCAGCGAGCTAACAATGCGCACATCCAAACCCTATATTGGTGTGGTGCGAGAGGCTCTCCGAACAGAAATCTTACAAACTACACACAGGAGCAGAAGATGGAAAAGCACAGCAGCAAATATCATCAGGATAGGATGATAGTCACTTTTGGGTACCACTGCCCCAGGAACCACTTTGGTGGCTCGTTGGCATGAGGCCAACACGGCTTCAGATGCACCCCTCTCCTGTCTCACAAACGATGAACTTACAAGGGCATGTGCCCAGGGCGGGAAGGAGGCATCAAGGAAAACTACTCCACAGAAGATGTTGAGATTGAGAGGGGTTATTTGAAGGATGCATACGGCTGCAGGGAAAGCAACGAATTTGAGATGTTCAACTGCTTATTGTGTTGCTGCAGCTGGAACATGCGAAAACAGGGGTGAGGACATCAGCAATCCAAACTACATTTGTTTGCAACAGAAGCACCATCACCTGTGCGTCAGAGGCACTCTGGGATTTCGTGGGAAATCCCAATTTCTGACCGATACATGGTTGCTGGACTCCTGCTCACTATGCTGGGCACCCAATGCGGATGAGAGGCAGGGGTTTTGTGCCGCCCGGTGCGGGCCGTGCAGCTTCACTCTGGAGCACAGATCTCATTGTCAAGGTGCTTGGAGCCCAGGGACGACCATCACTTGGCGTGGCCACTCCAGGGAAGACGGCATGGTGGGGGCCGCCTGTTGGGCGGGGAGCAAGGGTGGTGCTGACTGACATCGAGCATGCCCTCTGAGCAGGCAACGAGAGCCAGCCAGCCCATCTGTCAATAATCGTGCCCGCCACCTCACCACCTGGGTGCCATGGACTCCTCAGCCAGACTTTCCACACGGAGAGCTGGCCATGTGTCCAAGCCAGATTGCGGGAGCGAGGTGTGTCTACTCCCTTGTCTGCTTTCCTTCCAGCCTGCTCTGCTGCATCAGATCTCGCCCCCGCGCTGCAGCCAGATCAAGGGGGATCAAGTTTCTTGCACATCCTCTTAAAACTCGGTGCGAGTCAGAGGACATCACCATCGTGAGCATCCGTCTCCCCATGCCCTTCCCATCCCCTCACCGCCAACAAGTCAGCACGTCTCATGGTCCTCACCGTCACACGAAGCCGGTCCCCGCAGAGGGCCGACCGAACACGTTCCTCACGGGCGTGGGGCCCGCCTGCTCCTCAAAGGGGCTGGGGAAGCGCGGGCTGACGGCCTCGGCGCGCACCGCCGCCATGGCCTCGTGATGTCGGAAGCGTCGCTGGATCTGGTCCACCATGCAGCGGAGCTGGGGGCTGACGGGGTGCACCGCCGACCCCTTGCTCTGCGCCCTGGAGCCGGTCGGTGTGGCCGACCAGCGCAGGGGCTCGGCCAGGGACAAGCTGTTGCTGATCACGCTGAGCGGGGAGGGCGCCGTGCCGCCCCGCGGCGTGCCCACCGAAGAGCAGTCGGTGACGGAGCCGCTGCCGGGGTAGGCGTCCGGCGCCGCGCCCGCCGCTTCGGCCCCCGTCGCCGGCTCCGCCTCCAGGAGCAGGGTGTAGACGGTGTGGGCGTCGGGGCGGCGAGCGGGGTCGCGCTGCATGCATGCGGCGATGACGTCGGCCACCTCCTGCGGGCACTCCTCGGGGACCAGCGGCGGGCGCAGCATGCCGCGCATGGGCAGCTCCGGCGTGACGATCTCCCACAGCAGCGTGCCCAGGGACCAGATGTCCACGCGTTCGTCATAGGCCTGCCCCGCCAGCAGCTCCGGGGCGGCCCAGGCCTGGGTCCCGACGAAGCCATCATCGGGGGCCTGCTCCCCCACCACCCGCGCCATGCCCACGTCGCTCAGCTTAGCGCGGCCGTCGCGCGTGAGCAGGACGCTGCCGGACTTGACGTCGCGGTGCGCAACGCGCAGGGTGTGCAGGAAGTGCAGGCCGCGCGTGACGTCCAGTGCCACGCCCTTGCCCCCCGCCCACCAGGCCAGCCGCCCGCGCGCGTCGGCGTCGATGGCGGCGCGCAGGTCGCCGCCCGCCATGAACTCGGCCACCAGGGTCAGGCTCTGCGCGCCCACCACCGCACCGTAAAACTGGGTGATGTTGGCGTCGCGCGACAGGAAGCGCATCATCGCGATCTCGCGCACGCAGCGCTCGTGCTCCGCGCCCTCCCCCCCGCACCGTAGCGGCCGCACCGCCACCACCTGCACCCCGTCCTTCACCGCCTTGTACAGCGGGCCGTGGGAGCCGTGGCCCAGGCTGCCAGGGCTCGCCGTCAGCACGGCGCACCAGCTTGATGCGCTTCTCCGCGATCTCCCACTCGCCGTCCAGGCGGTGGGCCGCCAGTGCCGCGCCGCGCCGAGACGCCAGCCGCGCCCAGCCGTAACACAGGCCCCCGCCCACGGCCAGGAGCAGGAGCGCGCCCAACGGCAGCGCCAGGCCCAGGATGGCGGGCGTGGAAAGGCCGCCCCCGCCCCCGCCCTCCCCGTCCGGCCCCGCGCCGGAGTCGGGTACGGTGGCGTTGAAGGTCAGGTCGGTGTACCCCAGGCGGTTGTGCGCCTCCGACCCCGCCAGCAGCACCCGGTCCCGCGTGGCGGCCGCCAGCAGCGCACGCTTGACCTGGGCCGGCGTAGCGGCCGGGTTGTTGGACAGGTACTGCGCCGCCAGGCCGGCCACCAGGGACGCCGCTCCAAAGGCCCTATGGTGTGGGAGGTGGAGGGGGGAGGTGGAATACAATCTTGATTCAGTGCCCAGGAGCACTGCATGGGGAGTGCATGGGCAGCGTCAGATCAAATGCTCTGGAGCCCCCCTATGCATTCGAGCTCGCTGCAAGTCCCGACCCCCAGCTGCCGACCTCGCCACGTCCTCTTGCTCCAAAACCAGTCACATTCCTTTTCCCGCCCTCACATGCCCCCCCTCTCATCCATGGCCACCGACAACCTGCAACTCCCTGCCAACACCAAACCCTGACCCTGTTCGAGCCCCCCTCCACCCTTCTTAACTCACTGAGGCAGTATGGTGGTGAGGTTGCCCTGGGCCATGGCGCCCAGCACCCCGTTGCCCATGCCGCCCCCCGGCGCCAGCAGGCTGAGGCAGGAGGAGTTCGACTCGGCAAAGCTGCTCAGCTGATCACGCTCGTCCACACCCTGGACCGTGATGATGTCGGGGTGGGCGGCAAGGATGTTCTCGCAGATGGGGCACAGGCCGATGCCGGCGGGGATTATGATGGTGATGTTCTGCGCCAGGGCCAGCTGGACCCGCTGGTGCAGAGCCTGGTTGATGAAGTCATCCTTCTCCGAGCTGTACCGATTCTGGCCCCACCTGCAGAGGTGGTGATGGGAAGGGGGGGGGCAATGGGGGGACTTGGTCCACCGAACGATGATGCATCCCCACCGTCACGGCAGGGCGCCCTTTCTTTGGCCACTCACCACGTCTCGATCAGCATCACGGAGGGGCCCTTGGCTGTGGAGAGGACATAGTCGAAGCCAGACGGCAGGCCCTCTGGCGCCCAGATGTTGGCAGCGTCCATCAGGCAGGAGTACCGGTACCGGACTGGGAATGGGGGAAAAGGAGCAGTGGGTTGCCACACATAGTAGCTTGGCAAAGGAGCTGATGGTAGCAGGACGGGAAAGGGCGGGGGGAGGAGTCGAGAGGCAAGCAACCCAAATTTCTCATGGGGTACGTTGCGTTACTAGACCCCAACCTCCCGCAAGTCATGCCCTGCCTTCACCTGAGGTGATGGTGGCGTTCTTGGCCACGCCCAGCGTGTTCCCGCCGATCAGGGATGCGTAGTAGGTGCCGAAACCGTACCAGGCAAAGGCGTCGGGGCAGTCCTGCAGCGGGTCGGTCCCGTTGAATCCCCACCCCGGCTTGATGCGAGTCCCGGGCACGCCGTCGGTCCGTTGAAACTCCGAATGTGTGGCGTCGATGCCTGCCGACAACACGTACACGCTGACACCCGACCCCAGGTTGTCAGCGGCATACTGCCCGTCCAGGGGCAGCGTGCGCTGGTCCAGGCGGTCCAGGTGCCAGGGCACGGCGGCGGGGACCTGCGGCTGGGCCGGCGGCTGCGGCGAGGGGCGCAGGCGGATGCCCGCCAGGCGGGGGGCGGCCATGCCGCCGGCCGCCAGCGTCGCCAGCACGGTGTCGTTCACAAAGACGTCCAGGAGCTTGAACTGCAGCGTGCTCAGCGCGCAGGACTCCCACCCCGTGCCGTTGGCGCTCTCGCAGGCGGGCAGCGAGATGTCCAGCACCATCAGCTGCGAGCCGTTGCCGTAGTCAAAGGTGGCGTCAAAGAATTTCTGGACAGATGGGGGTATGGGGGGGAAAGTGGGGTCCAGCTTATGTGGTGCTGCACCGGCTGATGGGATCGGGACCGGTATTTTGTCAAGCCAGGCGCCCATGGGCACCGGACGTTGCTGCGTGCAGGACCCCATGAGCCCCTCAGATTCCAAGCCCAATGCACCCAAGATCTGGAGGTGAACATGGCCCACCCCAGGCTGGGATTCGACATACAATGACAACCCCCCAGGGTACCTGCCTGCACCCACGCCACACCCTTCCTCATGCCCTCCAGCCCAGCACCCCCCCACACCAGGGCATCCTGTGTGCTCCAGGCCATGATGTCAATGTGGGCTCCCACCAGATCCTCGAGCGTCTCGGCAATCGTGCTGGCCTGCAGGGCGGTGAGGTTGGTGCCTGCCGCGGTGCTCACCGCGACCATGACCTCAACAGGGACCACGGGGGCCAGGCGGACGGCCTGAGTCATGATCTCCTCCGCGATGTTGATGCTCATGAGGCGGAAGGAGGCGTTCAGGCCCAGGCGCTGCACCTCAGACACCCACAGCCCGAAGCTGGGCATCTGGTTGGTCCAGGCCTTGGTCCATGTCGCACTGTCGTTCAGGTCCGGCATGGACAGGTTGAACAGACGGTACATGTTGCCGGCAAAGTCGACGTAGGGGTCTGTCACGCCAGCCTCCTCTGAGAACCCAGGCTCCGGATAGTTTTCCCTGGGAAATGGAGGGGAAGGATGGGCGGGAGCGGGGTATGAGCGGACAAAGTGGGTTTGGGAGCGGGGCAGGAGCAGTACACGAGTGGGTGACTTCTGCTGCAGGGCACACATATACATTGCCAACAAGAACCACATGGGAAAGGCACCGCTCGCTATGTTTGTTGTCTCTTGCAGAGCAAACACCGTGCTTTGGCAGCAGGAAAGCAGTATTACTATGGCAAAAATGTATGCAGCCAGGTAGCTGAGACCCCCAAGCGGCTTCCTCCCTACCTGTAGCTGATGATGGTTACGGGACCTGCACCGGAGAATGGAGAGGAATTCCATCAGCAACAGCTTGCACAGTGGGATCAGGGCGATGTGTCTTTCCAGGAGCACCTTGAGATCCTGTCAAAAGCCCATCTCCATCGCAAGTGTCCCGACCGGCAATCCCTCCGCCTCAGCGGTGCAAGGAATCTCGCAGCCCGAAACACGAAACTTCACCAGCCCCGCGCACCTAAGGCAGGAATCAAAACATTCTCGATGGCCTTGGCGATAATCGCCTGTTTTTCCAGTGTGAATGGCATGATGCTCGGACCCGAGACCCGGGTGACCACGGTTTCGCGTACGGCAAGTGCGCCCCCCGTCTCACTGCACGAGAGGGGGGGCGGGGGTGAGGGCAAAGGGGTCGGCGACGCGCTTCCAGGTGCAGAAAAGCATGACAGCCCACCATAATTCTAGATTGTACTCACCGGAGGAGTTGCTCCCACCGATCATGGGCGGCGTCGGGGCCCTCGGTCGTGTTTGTGGTCGAGACGCTGGTGCGGAATCCATTATCGTCCAGCTGCGCGCCCGCTGACACCGCCAACCCAGCCAGAAAGAGCGTGAGGAGCCAGACCCTCCTCTGCACACGTAACTTCATTTATTGCGAGGTGTGCGCAGCGGTAAGGGTGCAGCTCATGCTCGCCGCAACGCGTGGCTTGCTTAATGGTAGGGTCGCGCCGTGTCCCATGTCAGTATGGCCGTGTACGAAGAGCAGGGCCGTGCTGAAACGAGCACATTCACACTCAAATATCATGGGTTTGGTTTTAAGATTATGCTCCGCAGTGTGTGTTTTGCCATTCCCATGACGGCATCCTGCTTCCGATTCGTACCTCGAATCGCAGCTGCCCGCGCCCCCCCCCCCCCCCCTCCTTCCCGGGAAGAAGGGGACGGCTACGTCGGGTGAGGCGGTCAACGGACACGCCGGGTTGCGCATCCCTTCACGTTGTGTCCCATCTGTTCCCCATGGACACATTCCTCGCGAGATTCGTCCCGCTCCCTGGAGCCGCGAATCTCCAGTCTTGGGAACAGATGGCCAGTGCGTCGTTCTTTGCAGGGCGTTGGGGATGCCTGGGATCTTTATATTTCGAATCCCCTCTGCCCTGCCGCTGCCCATGCAAATGCCGACTGAGACCGCGGGCGCCTGCCCTGCCCGGCGCCCTGTCGGTCGAACGTGCTTGATTCAAGGAGGCATTCACATTCAATGAGGGGTACATTTGGGCAGGACCACAGGGAGGGGTTCATGGGGTACAGGGTGGGCAGGGTGGGGTGAGGACAGGGGTCGGGCATGCTCCTGCGCCGCGTTTGAAAAAAGAAGAAAGAAAGAATGCCGCCACCGGGGTCAGGCCACGCGCGCGCGTTCCCGCCGCCGCCTCTCGCGCTCCCTCCACCCCGCGGGCCCGTCCTCGGCCGCCGCCTCCCCCGGCCTGCCACCGCCCTGGCCGTGGCTGGCCCGCGCGTGGGCGCGCAGGTAGCGCGGCACCTCCCCCGCCGGCACGCTCTCCTCCGCACGGCACAGCCGGCAGCGCACGTGCACCGCGTTGTCCGCGCCGTAGCTGCTGCCGTGCAGCACGAGCAGGGTGGGGATGCCGCGCGCCGCCGCGTACTCGTACTGCGCGGTGAGCGAGGGCGCTGCGGCGCGCAGCGTCTCGGCGGCCACCCCCGCCTCGCGCAGCGCGCGCAGCAGCTCCAGGCGCTCGCGCAGCATGCCGCCGCCGCCGCGGCTGGCCACCAGTGCCTCGGCGCAGGACAGCCGCGGCAGGCCCGGCAGCGACGCGACGCCGGCGCCGCCCGGCAGTGCGCCGGCCCCCGCGCCGTCGGCGGCGGCCACGGCCGCCAGGCGCTCGACGTTGAGCGTGGCGCCCACGCCGCCTAGCTGCGGCGGGGGGTGGGCCACATCGGGGTCCGCGGCGCGCCGCGCCCAGGCTGCGCGCAGCAGGCGGTCGTAGCGCCCCGCCACGCCCACCATGGCCGCCGCACCCGTGCCTGGCGCCACCAGGTGCCACTGGAGGAGGGGCCCCGTGAAGTAGTCAGCGTGGGGGGGAATAAGGGGGTCCACCACCACGCAGCCGCCGGGCACGCCGCAGTCGGCCAGCGCGGTGAGCAGGGCGGCCAGATCGTCCAGCGGGGCCGGCGCGCCAATGTTCGTCCCCGGAGCGCCCGGGGGCGCCAGATGGCCCAGCGTCGCGCGCAGCCAGTGCAGGGCCGGCTCCGGCTCGCCTGAGCCCAGGAGGAGCAGCTGGCGGCAGCGCGCCGCCGCGTCAGGTGCCAGGCCCAGGCCCTCCAGACCCGCGCGGATGGCCGGCCAGCGCGCCGCGCGCGCCGCAGTGTGCAGCGGCGAGGCCGCCGCGGCGGTGGACAGCAGCTGCACCGCGCGCGCGTGCAGCTCCGGCGGTGCGCCTGAGGAGGGGATGGTCGTGGAGGCATGTTGGGCGTGGGGGGAGGGAGTGGGGTGCGGGAAGCAGGGATCGCCCGCCGACGGCAGTGAGGGGGGAGCACAGGGCATGAGGATACGCCAGGTACACCAACAACTAGCAAGCGTCGAGGGTGTGTGGCATGCGCCTGGCGCTCCATGCATGCCTGCTGACTCCTACCACGCGGTCCCGGGACCCCGCCCATCGCCTCGCTCCCGTCTGCACCCCCGCTCCCGTCTGCACCCCCGCCCCCACTCCGTGCATTTCGCAACCCCCCGACCCCAACCAGCACGCCTCAAACCCCTCCCTCGAGCCCTCCTGCTCACCGACGTGCTTCAGCGCGAGGGCGAGGAGGCCGCGGTGCCCGACCCTAAGCTCGAAGGCCCCCGGACAGGGCAGCGCGGCCAGCGCGACACTCACCATGGCCGCCAGCTCGGCGAGGGGGAGCAGGGCCTCGCCCGCGCCGCGCGGCGCCGCGCCCAGGATGTCCACTTCGGCGACGGCGGCGGGGCGAGGCGGCCCGCGCCCCGCTCCCGCGCGCTGCAGCCGCGCCACCTCGTACCGTGCGAAGCCGTCCTGGAGCACGCCCGCGTGGCGCAGCGCCCAGTCGGCAAAGGCGGGGCGCAGCTCGTGCCGCGCCGCCAGCAGCACGCCGGAGGATGTCAGCAGGCGGACCCCGCCGGGGGCCTCAGGGGCGTCGGGTGCCGGGGCGGGCCCCAGCTCGCTGCTGGTCTGGCACACTGCGCCGGACAGCGCAAAGGTGGCCGCCAGGGTGGAGGTCACCTCCGCCCACGCGTTCATCTACATTTTGGGGGGGTGGTCCCGGAGTGTGTGTGTGTGTGTCAAAAAAGATCTCCATAGGAGACTCATGGACCGTTGCGGGGCCTTTCCAACAGCCCCACCGCCCCTGCCCCTTGGGGCGGACAAGCAGCAACACCTTTGCCTCAGAATGCTTGAGTTTCCTAACCCCTCTCCATACCCCTCCGACATCCCCGTCCCAGAATAATCCCACAGCACCACCGCGCACGTCGATGGGCAGGGGCGTGCCGGGGGTCTCGAGCCCTGGCGCCGCGCCATCGCCCCCGCCGCCAGCTCCGCCAGCCGCCGCGGCCACCGCAGCCGCCGCGCCGCCCTGGCCCGCCGCCAGCCCGAACACGGCGTCCACGACTCGCTGGTGTGCGGCGGGGTTATCCGGCAGCGAGCGCAGCAGGTCCGCCAGCTCCTCGTCGCCCACGCTGGGCGGCAACAGCTCAGAGGCCAGGACCTGGCGGGCGGTGGGGCGGTCCGCAGGGCTGCGCGCCAGCATCCAGCGGATCAGGCGGCACACCGCGGGCTGGGAGGCCTCGAAGTCGGCGGGCATGACGTCGCGCTCGCGCAGGTCGCGCAGGAGCACCGCGCGCTCCATGCCCGTGCTGAAGCGGTGCCACAGCTCAAAGGCGATCACGCCCACCGAGTAGGAGTCCACGCGCTCGTCGTAGCTCGCCCACCCGTCTGCGATCTCCGGGCTGTGAGTTGTTTGGTCAAGGCGTGGGGGGTCGGGAAATTGGATACTGGGAGGAAGAAGGATGGCACAGGAAGCAAGGGGCAGAGGGAAGGAGGGAGGAGCGGGGCATGGGAGGAAGGTGACCGGTACAGAATGCCGGTTTGGGTGGCACGCCGAGGATTAAATTGGGAACATCAAGGTCGCCCACTGTTTCCAAGCACTGCACCCTCCCACGTCAACTGCCCCGCTCCCCCGTTCCTCAAGTCGCACACCTGATGTAGTAGGAGGTGCCGACCTGGGTTGTGTGCTCTGCCGCCTCCATCTTGCCCAGGCTGCCGGGCGCCGGCCCGGCCGCGGCGCCAGGCGGCCCTTCCAGCGGCTCAGCCCCCAGGTCGGAGCCCGCCAGCTTGGCCAGCCCAAAGTCGCCCAGCTTGATCTCGCCCTTGGCGTCGTAGAAGATGTTGGCGGGCTTGAGGTCGCGGTGGATGATGCCCTAGTAAGGGGGGGGGGGGGGGTTCGTGTG